CAATACTCACACGACATATCGGACATTTCTTGCACTTTTCACAACACGTACTGCAAAAATAATAATAATAATAATCAAATTTAATCAGACAGGACAGGACATGACAGAACAGACTGTACTGTGTTTGGTGTGATTTGATAATGAGACAAAAACTGAAACTTTTTGTACCTGCAAAGGATGCGATGCCTACAGGGGAGGAGTACCGTGCTTATTTCGCCTTCAAAGCAAACACGACATAGCACTTTTTCCTGATAATAATAATAATAATAATCCATTTATTTAATCAGATTAATAAACAGAATAGTAATTTATAAGAATTTAGAATTTTACATTTTGAAGTCTTTCATATTCCTGTTGGCTAAATTTTGTGATTTCTGTTTGCTCACCCAGAGCTGCTTGAAGTCTCCAAACCTGGAAGAAGAAAAAAAAAATTACACTTGTTAGATTTATTATTTTTAATAGTAAATTACATTTATGGTCCCTGGGTGGTTTTTAAAACAATTTTTGGTCCCAAAACGTTTTTCAAACAGCTTTGGTCCTTATTTGAAGTTCTTATATCGTTTTTGTTTTTGGTCCCTGGATATAGCTGCTGTTTATTGCAACAAAAACGTTATAAAAACTTCAAATAAGGACCAAAGTTGTTAGAAAAAAAAAATTTAGTACCAAAACTGAAAATATGGATATGATATCCTTACCTCCTCAGCAAGATCCTTCTTTGGCATTTTTTTAACTATTTCAGGTGGATAACCACAAAAAGTGTTGTAACTGCACAAATACAAACAACTTTTTGTTCATTGGAATGGAATTCTGATTTTTTTTTTTTTTGTGTGTAATTACGATCTTACCCTGAAGCTCCATCATGGTAAAGCCGTGCCTGTTCTTCTCGGCTTCCTTCATCTATAGACCACCAACCAAGCAGCCTACACGAAAAAGTCACCAAGGGGTAAATCCGTAAAATTGAAAGGTGAGAAAATCTAAACCAATCATCAGATTGTATGTATACCTGGACCCACGGTGCAAAAAGCCAAAGCAGTCACGGGCACGGGCGGAATATGTAAAATATGTTCCGGTCCCACTTCCTTGGCGTAGTAAAATGACGATTTTCTCCCCTAACCTTGATCCAGAAAGTAGGACTCCTACTCCTTGTAATAAAAATAGAGGAGAGAAGATCACAGGAAGAGACAAAGATCTAGCAGCAGCAGGTTTTCCCTGAAACATTGTGTGTGTTAGTTACAAATGGGTTGAAGAGGGGAAAACTTTTAAAGAATAACTACCTCCAAATGCATACAAAGGAGGATTTGGAAAGCAATTATGGGAATTTTCATGATGTGTCCACCAACATCTTGTAGACTACACATGCTGTCTTCAGAGGTATCCTCTGAAGAAACCACTAACCCACTGTTCCAATCAAGATATCTAATAGCATTCGATGATGAGCTGGCTTCAGATGCATGCATGTTTCTATGAATCACTGGATTTGACCATTTTGTACAAACAAGAAACGAAAAGCATTCTGCAATTCTGAAATATAACAACAAATTGCAAAAACTTAGAATATCCTTTAAAATAAAGATGGAAAAAATCTGTCATACCCGAAATTTATGAGCAGGTCCCACCAGCCTAATGCATCTACAAAACCTGTTAAATGAATACAAGTAATTAAAAAACCAACTTTGATTCATAAATGGATTCCTATATTTTTAGATTAGAACAAAAAATATTACCACATAACTTCAGGAGGGTGAATACAGTGGCAGCAATGAAGAAAACCATGGATATAGCAACCCAGAAATGCTAAAAAAAGAAAAAATATAACTTTCTTAAGGACAATGGTGTCTTTTGATTAAATATGAGAACAAAAGTGAAGGTATATATATACATATGATGATATGAATATGCATTCTTTATCAAATGAACTTACAGGAAGTGTCTCCCATATTGCATCATCGCTCACACTTTCATCATCTCCAGGTAATAAGGCCTTGCACATTCTGTATATCATAGATAGATTATCAGTTATATACATTGCAAATTAGCAGAATCCAGCTGTAAAGAGAAGAGAAAGTTTTCAAAAAAAAAAAAAAAAAAAAATCACCTGAAATTGTCAACAAGAATGGTTACTTCAAATGCCAATAGAGGAAGGAAGACAATCTGTAGGCTTACAGGTGGAGGCTTAGTAACTGCACAAAACAAAATTAGTGTGGAATCAGAACTTTGAGTGAACACAATATACATGAGATTATTATGTTAACAGTTAATATGTTGTTGTCAATTTGTCATACCATGGATATTTTCAAGATAGATGCAAAGAAGCAGTTCAAATGCAATAAGCAAAGGTGTGGCAACAACTGCATGGCATGGTGCCCACTGCACAAAAGAGAAAGGAAAAGTATTCCCTGATGCATAATGTAAGATTTGGAAATGACACAGTTCATAAGGTTTATACAGGTTGTTCATACGTTATAGTCTTGCTTATTGTAGTGAAAGAAAAATGATGATGGAAAAGAAGAAAAAGAAGGAGATCATACATCACGGCCATGGGGAACTGATGGTGCAGGTAATGAGAATCTTCCTCTGGCAACGACAGCATGAAATAGAAAAAGCGGGAAGAAAATGACCCTGCATACAACAATAAATCATCCATTATGCTTTGATTCTGCAATTCATGCATACAGTATTGAAAAACCTTCGGTTTTAAGAACCAAAACCCTATCTTTCAATCTAAACTCGGATACGAACTTTGGGTAAACATGTTTAGAGAGGTTAATCTCGAAAAAGGAGCCAAATCTCGAAGCAAACATAAGTATACAAAAACCCCAATAACATTTCCAATAATTCAAACATCATAACATCAAACAAAATAAAATCCATGCACAAAAACATAAAGCAAAAGGAAATCGAAACTGACCACCAGGAGTAGGAAACAAGATGATCGAGTTTAAGAACAAGCAAAAGCGTGAAGCAAAAGAGTGCAGTATGAGCAGAAAAAGCCTGTAAGGAGTTTGCTACTCTTCGCCAGCTCATATCTTTCCTTACAATCATACGAAACCCTAAATATAGAGCTTGCGCACAGGACGAGTGAAATCCAACACCGTAGCCCTAGAAAATTCCCAAATTGAAGAGTGATTGATTACTCGTTAGGGTTCAACCGAAGGAAAATAGAAACTTCTTTATCGAGTGGGTGCCATTAATAAAGATTCTTCTGCAATGTTTATTATTGGCTTGAATGATCGAAATTTGGAAATTGAAATCAAAAAAACAAAGTATATCTTCACTAGAAACAAAGTTTTGGCATTATTTCTTTCTCTGAATTATCTTAAAATAATTATAATTTTATTAGCACAAAACCGGAGCTGCCTTCACGCCAACGCTACGTAACGCCCCTTGTTTTTTTTTTGTAGTTTTTTATTATGGTAATAATTAATAAATATATCATCCATTGACTCATGAATTCAAAATTATCATCACTGACTTTTAAATTGAAAGTTATTTAAGTGGGTTTATTAGTTGCATATTTTCGCTATAATTTCTGTAATGTTGTTTTAGTTTCTATAATTTTGTTATTTATTATATAATATAATATGTACCCTAATTTTATCTTATATTTTGACCATTTCTGTATTATGATTATATTGCAGTCGATGGCTTGATCATTGGACTTGATCTCCGATTCTGCAATAAGTGTCGGTGTGTCAAATTATTTTGAGAATAAATGTTCGAGTAATTTCTTTTGAGAATAAAAGTACGCAATCGATTTCTACAATAAGTATGGATACATGTTTTTTAGGACTCTTTCCTTGGAGTGTCGAACACATTTTTCATTGTTCATGAGTTTAGAACTTGAAAATGTATTTTTTGTATACTTCAAAAAAACATTATATAGATATGATAAGAACTTATGTCCATTGTGTCGACATTCGAATAAAAAACGGTCTACATATTTTTTTTTCAAGTTTTGAAGTTATACAAAATTTCAAAGTTGGTTTTGGTTTGAGAAAATCTTATAACATTAAGTAGGGGTATCAAAATTATTAAATTAGAAATTTGTTGTTTGCATACATGAACATTGATCTGGCTTTTGCTACATCTATTTTGTTACATCTATCTATAAAAAAATGATCATTGTGTCATTTTGGTGATTATCCTTAATTTATTTATTAGACAAAAACATAAATTTATTAAAGATAATCATAAACATTATATTTATGCATTTGATATTTTTGATAACTAGCAAAATTAACCATAAATTTCAAAATTTAACCTCTCTTGAAATTCTACATGGTTGTGAAGCAACTCTTATAACAAAAATATATTTCAAACAAAAAGCTATGTATAATGGTTTTTAAATACAAGGTTTTAAATACAGAATTTCGAAATACAAAGTTTCGGAAAGAGAGGGTTTTGAATAAAGTTATAACATTATTTATACCCACCTCTATTATTTGTGTCTATTAGAGCATGAAATTCTTACTATTTTGCATTTAACATGTTTGTTTCATTTCATCTTTAAGATGGACACAATGAGTACTTGAGCAAGTGACAGCTAAAGTGCAATGAGTGTACTTCTATAGATAGTACATGCATTAACCGAATAAGATATACGTATAAACAAAATAAAATTAGTATAGAAGTATAAGATTATATTTCATAACCTTAAGACACTATCTTTTCGAATGAGTAGATTATTTCTAACAACCTTATTTGTTTATTAACATCAGGTTTAATATTGCGTCTTTCCAACCATTCATAACAAGACTTGAACCAAATAAGTTTTCCAAAATGTTATACAAGTAACTGTGAACTTAAATTATTACTATTATTATTATTTATTTATTTAATAACAAGAGCAAACTCCACACAAACCAACTTATTAATTCACCGAAAGATTTAAGTTGAGAAGTAACAGAATCACTAGGTTATGTTTTACCAAAAAAAAAAATACAAATCGATTAATATGTAAACGACTATAAGAAAAAATTTGGTTGAATAAAGAAATGTCACATAAATTGAAAGATATAAAAACAATATGTTTTTAATACATACAACCTCCTAAAATTTTGTATTCGAATAACTATATTATTATAATATAATAATATAGTTTTTCAAATAATATAGCAAGAAAAAGTTTCCAACTATTGTGGATGCTCCATAGAAACGTACGATTGCTTCAACTAATTATATATACTTGTTGAAAACCACATAATTAGTCCATCTGAAACTATTAACTAACAAAGACACCCCTCCTCTTATCAAAATTACTCCAAACCACCCCCAAACAAAACGAATTTGACCAACATAACATATCCCAATAATGCAATTGTAAGGTATCCATAGAAGAACACCGGATATCGAGGGCAAAAGTGGTAATTACCAAAATGAAGAGGAATGAAGGTAGGCATAAGCATAACTAAAGGAATTGTTTGAGCCATTTACAGTCGCCTGTATCATTCAGCATCTCATTCTTTAACCTTTTCACTTCTTGCAAAGCCTCCTTTAACTCCATTTTGTCAAGGGGCAATTCCGAGAATTCCTTCAAAAACTTGCGGGCCCGTGGAATGCCTATCGCCACGTCATCTTCTTCTGATAGTTTCTTACGCTTACATCCAACCTACACAAAAAAAAAAATTAAATAATGAAGGGCAAATTTGTAAAAAGTTAAAACCTCTTTTACCAAACTTCTATGTTAAGTCAAAGAAAACACTCTTATAGCTTACCAGATTAACTTTTGTCCCAATTAAGTCTATTAGGTAAGAAAAGGGAGCCTAAATGATAAATAGAGTAAATTCCATTTTGGTCCCAAAAAAGTTGTCTTGCAATTTTGGTCCTTATTTGAGGTTTTTTGACACAGGAAGTCAAGAACCTTGAATAAGGACCAATGTTGCACAAATCAGCTATACTCAGAGGACTAAAACTGTAATTACCATATGTTGAGGTTCATCTGATAGGATAGAAAGGGGCGAAAAATCCTCCAGCTCAGCAGCTTTTTCTCTAGCAAGAGATACGACACTTTGAGGAAAATTTGCAAACTCTGCCACATGGATACCAAAACTTTGATCACAAGCTCCTGGCTCAACCTGAATAAGGCAGATAATGTTAAAGATTTAATTTTGAAAAATGTATGTTTTTTTATACAAAAATGAAAAATGTTTAAAGTATAAGCTAACCTTGTAAAGCATTGTTAGTTTTCGGCTCAATGAGTCGATGTGTGCACTAACATGGTAATTTGCTATGCCAGAAGTTTGACCAGAATTTTCATGAGCTAATGCGGTCAACTCATGAAAGTGAGTAGCAAATAGAGTAGGTGCTTTTATCACTTCAACCAAGTGCTCACAAATAGCCCAAGCTAAACCTGAAATTATTATTATATATATATATATATATATATATATATATATATATATATATATATATATATATATATATATATATATAATATATAATAAATCAATCCTTTATACATTTATGCATACAACTCTAAAAAAAAAACCAGGAAACTAACCAAATCCATCATAAGTTGAAGTTCCACGACCCAATTCATCAATAATAATTAGCGATTTGTGAGTTGCACCTTTCAAAATTGAAGCTGTTTCCAGCATTTCTTGCATAAAGGTAGAAACTCCACGTAACTGTGTGTGTAGCACAGAATAAACAAAAACTTAATCGGGACAAGACAACTATATATGTTTGTTTCTTTTTTATTTAATCCTGACATAATGACTTAATGGGTTAAGCCAAAATTTTAAGTTGATGTATTAAGATGTTGTACCTATTTGCTTTAATTCTCTTTTCCTCTCAACTTCTATCAAATTAAATTTTGTAAAAAAGGTAATTTACCTGACAGTCACCAGCACCAACACGAGCAAAAATACAATCACGGATGGAAATGGAAGCTTTATCACAGGGAACAAAACAACCCACTTGTGCCATAAGAATGTTCACACCAACCTTGTAAAAACAATTACAAAAAAACATTAAAATATATATATATATATATATATATATATATATATATATATATATATATATATATATCCAACCAAATAATAAAAACTAAATTCAATCAATGCACACCTGACGTATAAATGTGGATTTTCCACCCATGTTGGGTCCCGTTATAATCTGAAACCAACTCTCTCCTCTCACCTAGTATTTTACAAATAGATAAATTAAATAATAAATCAGTCCAACTTTTTTTTTTAAACCACAAATATGGTCTCTCTAAATCGCAAGAGATCTTACAAGTTTGCAGTCATTTGGAATAAAATTCACCCAATCTTGAGCTTCTACACAAGGGTGTCTGCTGTTTTCTAATATAATATCGCCTGTATCCTGTCAATGGCAAAATCGTAATTAAGACATATCTTTAAAAAACTTTACCACATAAAGAGAAAAGAAAAGAGGGAAGTGTAAAATTGTTACCGAAGGTGTGATTTCGGGTCTGGTATAAGGGGTGGGGCTGCTAGCTGCCAGGTCAGCAAAACTAAGCAAGACATCCAGCTCAGCAAGCAACATAGCCAAACCCTCAAACACCTGTATAGAAGATTAGTTAATGACCATTTTGCCCATTATAGAAGGAAGATGATACAGTAAAGTGTAGATACCTCAGAGAAAGTAGCTGCTGTTTCAACAACACGGGTTACCAGTTCCTTCTGACAGCTTTTATATTCTTCAAGAATCTTTTGGTATTCATCTCCTAATTTTTTTAATTTAGTATTTGTAAATTTTACACCATCTTTTCGGGTTTCAAGAACAACAAATTGGGAAGCAAGCTTCTTTCTCACTTTTGGTTCTTCCTTTTTTGTGATTCTAAAAACATGACCAAATTGTGTGCCTTTATCCAGCTTTAAACCCTTGTCAAGAGCCAGATCAAGATCATCAGCTGTTTTTCTATGCAAATTGTGTATTTGTTGTTCTAGTGATTCTTGTTCGTCTTTTAGGGCTGATAATTGAGAGTCATAACCAGGTGAAATCATGTATTCTCCATTTTCAAGTTGATCAAGATCAACTGAAACTTCCACAAGACCAATGAACTTGCTTAGGTGTTCATCATTAGTCCAAAAATTAAGGCGATCCATGTATCTTTCCTCTATCAGTGATGCAAATTCACCATTGTACCCTTCCATTGCACTTTTGATGTATGGAACTCTGATGCTTGACTGCATAATAAAGAACAGTTAAACATATACTTGTTAAAAAAATTATAATAGCTAGAGAATTTATAAAAAGAAAAGTAAAATCCAAAAAACTAATCACCTGATAAAGCTTGACAACATGCAACAAACCAGCTCTTCTTTTCTGAATAATCCGGATTAATCGCTCAATATCAGCTATTCTTTTCAGATGTTGCCTTAAAACCTGACGAAAACCAGTATCCTCCACAAAAGCTTGAACCAAATCTAGTCTTTTATTAATCTCTGTGACATCTAACAAAGGTTGTTTTAGCCATAAATGAAGTAACCTTCTACCTAAGCCAGCTGTACATGTTCTGTTCATAAGACCAAAAAGACTAAAATTCTTGTTGGCATCTGTCTTACTTTCCATTACATTCAATGCCCTCATAGCTGCAGAATCTAATCTCATGTAGTTGCTAAGATTGTATTGAGTTATTTGATAGTTTCCATAGTTGTTTTCATCAGAGAGTAACTCGGTGTACGATAGCAACACGCCTAAAGCCATAGGTGCAAATTCAAAAGAGGAAACAAGATCACGAACTGGTTCATTAGAACCTTTGACTAGTCTACCAAGATCCTGTCCCACATCTCTTGATTTGAACTCAGCTTTCTTTCTTTCAGTGATCATCACACCACATTTTGACATGACATCATACAAGGGTTTACAGTCATTTGACTTGGTGATTTCGGTAGGTAAAAGACATTCCTTACAACCAAGAGAAACTAGACAAGATTCAACATTTGTGAAGTGGGAATCATCAAGAAATTCGGTTATTCCAAGTACCCTTTTGGAAAGATCAACATAACCCAAACCAACAGTGCAGCCATTTTCACGAAAGTTTGGAAGTAAAGCAACAATCACAGGAGAATCTTGCATATCATTGTTTGCGAAAAGAATGTCTTCAAAGCTGCCGAGATTGCCAGGTGTCCCTCTTTTTGTTAATCTCCAGTTTGAGCCACTGCCTTCGTATAGTTCAAGACTATGATCTGTTCTTTCTAGAAGAAGGTCACGGACGATTGTTTCAAACATGTTTTTGCTTACAGATACACTAGACACTGCATCGGATCCATTGCCAATTTGTCTTAGAGCTGTTGTTGTATGGTAATATGTTTTTGCAATGAATGAAGCATTTTCACCATGTGCTGTGAAATAATCCTGTAAAGATTTAACTTTATTTACATTAGAAATGAACTTGAACAGAAAAACGAAAACATAAGTGTTACCCAATGAGGCCAACGAATATAAACTTTTTCCCATTTGTGCGTAAGTAGATTATAGATATGAAAAATCATCATCTTCATCAAACCCACAATACCAAATGAATGGGGTGAGGAGGAAGTAGATGATAAGTAGAGATAAAATATGATGAAAATTATGTTTTTTTAAGTAAGGAAAGGAAAGACAATGAAGTGTGATATCGAGTTTCATTTAAGGAGAGAACAAAAGGAAATAGAAGGAAAGTGGAGCAGTTTTCCCTTAATATATCCCCCAAAAGGTGAGATGAATGAGAAGGAAAGGAAATGGAGGATTCACTCTATTCCTTTTCCTTCCCTTTCTTTCTCTTCTCCTTCCTTCACCTCAATAAACTCTAGAACAGGGTTTGAGGATGAGAGAGAGGACTGACCCGTCGATCAAAAATGCGAACGGCCTTCTCGTCCTGCACAATAAAATTAGGTTTTAGACGAGATTACATCAACTGTATTATACAGCTTCTAAGAAAAATAAGATAATAGGAGTTAGAAACACGTACATTAGGTAATTTCTTGAAGAACGTGAGAAACCCTTGAGCTTGTTTAGCATCTACAAAAAGCCAAATACGCAGAAGACAACAAAACGTCAATCCGGTTCTTAAGGTAAACAACCATTACTTCTCATACCATATTTTACGTTCTATATCATTTGAATCGAATGAGTATATAGAGACTGAGATATAATGTTTTTACCTAATTTCAGCTCGGGAAGCTTGTTGTGTTCTTGCAAATCCCCATCCATGTCGATTTTTCGTGAGTAAAAAAAACGATATCAAATTGGAAGAACTAAGCTAGGGCTTATGAGGATGTAGAGAATCGCTACAACACAAATTTTGAGGTTAGGGTTTGGAAGAAATGTAAGGGTTTTAGGGGTTTGGGCGGGAAAAAGAAGTTGCGATGGCTCGGAGAGACGCGCGCGCTTTTGATGTGATTGCCCGCCCACCTGTCACCTTGCTGATAAATTTTAGACTAAATTACAACATGAGTCCCCCCAGCCCCAAGTATTTCTTGAAATATCTTCGGAATTTGAAAAATGATATATTACTTTCGATCAAATTTTGTAATTGTATATGGTTAATTATATTTTGTATATAGATACAGATATGTTTGATTAATAAATTATATAACATGTTCAAATAATATCATCTACCATTAAAGATTTTATGTATCATATTCAGTCATTTTATTACGGATAAATTTCGTAAAAATCATTAAATTTACATGAAAATTTAATTGACATTTTGTTATTTTTTGTCTCAAATTGGACATTATGTTTACAATTTGTTACAATTATGGTCATTCAACTAGTCAACATGGTTGCCTGCAAACGTGGCACGATGACGTGTCATTTTGATAACATAACACGCTAACATTTCAAAATTGAAAAAAGATTTTTTTTTCAATTTTAACACTAAGTTTTATTTTTATTTTATTTTTTTTATTTTAAGACTTCATTTTTTTTGTTCCAAATCAAACATCACTTTTTCGATTGTGTTGGATGTTAATCATTTTCAATTTAAAAAAAAAAAAAAAAAAAAAAAAAAAGTTAAGATGTGTGGAGTGCACAGTCAGATAAGTTAATGTGCTCACGCGAACATGAGGGTCCGATGGTCTTCAAACTTTGGGAAAAAAAAGTGTCACGTCATCAAAATTCGAAAAAAAATGATCATGAGTCTGGAACAATAAATTAAGTGTCAAAATTGAAAAACAAAATAAAATAAAATAATAAACTTAGTGTCAAAATTGAAAAAATGAAAATTTAGTGTTTTTTGTGATTTTTTTTCATTTTTGACATGTCAGCACGCCGTATCACCAAAATTATCACGTCATCATGTTATGTCAGCAGACAACTGGATTAATCAATCAAGTTGTTAGAATTATAACAAATTGGAAATGCAGCATCCAATTTGAAACAAAAGATAACATTATGTCAAAATCAATTTTTTATGTAAATTTAGTAACTTTTATGGAATTTACCCTTTTATTTTTGTACACGTTTGATTAGTATATTGCATATAATGTTAAAAAAAAAACATTTTATGTTCTATAATTAAGATTTTCTCGATTCCGATGACTTTTCATCTCCAAAGAGAACACAATGGTTTATTCCAAGATGTTCACCTGTTGAGGTTGGCGAGTCCTATCACATGGGTAAACTTGATACACAACATTTGCAACGAAGAAAAGCTAACATGATAAGGATGACTAGTTATATCACTTGGGTCACCGATGATTTTGAGGAGTTGAATAATGAGAAAATGAATCGGTGAAACAAACATGATTGTCCTAATAAAGTCTATTTCACTTTGAGTTGTAAGCCCAAATGAAGGAAAAAAACAATAACAAAATGATGATAAAGAAACTAAAACCAAAGTGAGATTTTTCATATTTAAAGAGCCTGTAATGTATTAGTTGTTTCTTATCTACAAAGTGTTGATTATATATGATATTGCAATATGTTAATTTTGTAAAAAATGATGGCTCTTCTCTAAAATTTATAGTGAAATTTTGTCATCATCATCTACAAAGATAAAAACAAAGATAAAAGCTCTCGAAACTATGACAGATAGCCATATAGTATATGGCTCATGAGTGTCCATATGCTAGCACATTCATTCCCATGTTATATTACATTTCTACATATTAAAAATCGCCAGAGAAGTTGTCAGAAATTTCACATTATGAGTTTGAGGGAAAATGTTAATATATATTTATATTGGATTTTTATTTAGCTTTTTTTTGGTTGGGGTCTTTTTATGAGGTAGGGCTAGCCAATGTTTTAAAACCCGGGTCGACCCGCCGGGTTCAACCGGTTGGACCGTGACCCGGGGTAAAAAGCGGGTCAATTGAGACCGGCTTTTTGTAAAAATACGAACCGGATCGAACCGGCCGGGTTTCCCCTAAACCGCGGTTCGACCGCTTATGTTGAACCTGTTAAACCGGATTAACACGTTTTAATAAACCTTGGATAGTTGGATACAAGTAGTGAGCGCCTAAACAACGAACCGTTTGCGGTTTCTTCAATATTTTTCAATGTTTAAACTTTGTGGACATCAAATTATTGGTTTTATATGTTTATGCATTATGCATGAAAGTAAAAATATATAGAAATAGAAAATGATCATAAACCGAGTTGACCCGACGGTTCAACCGGTTGAACCGGTTGACCCGTGAACCGGTCATCACACCGGGTCAACTAAAACCCCGGGTTTTAAAACATTGGGGCTAGCCAATTATTTCACATTATAGTTTCATTATACTTTTATTGCAAATACTTTTTTCTTTATCGATAATACTCTAGCCGTTTTGGGTCTTTAGGCTTTTCAAGAACATTTTTTTTACCTTGAGAGATGGGAGCGGTAGTCAATGTTTTAAAACTCGGGTTTTTAGTTGACCCGGTGTGATGACCGGTTCACGGGTCAACCGGTTGAACTGTCGGGTCAACCCGGATTATGATCTTTCTCTATTTTTATATATTTTTACTTTCCCGCATAATGCATAAACATATAAAACTAATAATTTGATGTCTACAAAGTTTAAACATTGACCCGCCTTCTACCCCGGGTCATGGTCCAACCGGTTGAACCGGCCGGATCGACCCGGGTTTTAAAACATTGTTGGTAACATGTGATGGTCGTCATCATCTTGAGGGTTTTGGAAATTGAGAAGTATAAACATCTCATATGCATTTGATTATAGATTGGATTGACAATCTTATTTGGATTTCAATCTTGAATTGGTTTTTGGGTCTTCAAATTTGGATATATTTTTAAGGTTTTGGATGAAGAAGATGGAAAACATCTGGCGATAAAGATTCTCATAAAGTGGTTATGTAGATATGATAGGATGGATTCAGTGCATACTATATAGTAAAGTTATGTGATCATTTTCTTATCTTATTGTTGTGGCAAGATGAATAAAGCACACTATACTAAAAAATCATTCCATTGTATTATATTGGGAGTGGAGTGGCTCGTCTTAATGGTAAGTTTTTTAACAATAAAACGAATGACACATGATGATGAGTAGTTAAATAACTTTCAATTGCTTTTAGGATGATATGTATGCAAGAAGATAAGTCAAAAATACCAATCAACCATCCAAACATGTTTTGGCATACGAGACAATAAATTGCAAATATTGTCTCATGTGCCAAACACAATACAACATACAGTATAATGGAGAAGAAACACATGACTTGTTGCTATCTCTTTCTTTACTTTTCCGTTCTTTTCCACTTTTTTTTCCCTCTCAATAAACATGGTATACACTCCTACAAAACAACACTTCAATTCTACAAAGAATACATCTACTACCACTACTTACTCAAGGTCTACTCAATGTTCGGTTTTTAATTTTAATTTTAAGTTTATGCGTCGAAGTCGTACCTCCCGTTTTTTCAATCCGCTTCCCCGCATCCCCCAATGAGGTCGCGACATTTGTCAACTGTCCCACGGGCCCCACCTCCTCTCCTCTAACTTTTTCTTTATTTTTCAGCTCTATCGAAGAAGACGTAATAACCATCAATTTAGCCAATTCTTTCTCCTTTCTTTTCTTTTCTTTCTTCAATCTCTTCTTCTCCAAATACTCGGGGTCATCTTTATGATCTTTCTTTTTTCTTTTCTTTTCCTTTTCCTTTTCCTTATCTTTCTTTTTCTTCTCCTTCTTGTCTTTACTACCCGAAACGGGTCCCATCAACGACACATCATCGGTTTCATTCAGCACTCGAAGACTAATAAATTTACTAGGATTTTCCTTCTCCATTTCAATGTCCATATCCACATCATTCAATTGAACTTTACTCGAATCAGCCGTACACTGTAGTTCTTTCAAAAGCGCATCACCCTCACCATCACCATCAACCGCTAGTTTTGCACTACCGATACTGGCGGTGACACGCGACCCGACATCATGGCACGAATTAACGTCCTCAAGGTTTTGGTTAATTACATTTGTACCCTCGTTGGAGTTTCGTTGTGTTTGTTGTGGCGGTGGTGCTTCAACCGACACGGACACAGAGCTACTCGTCCCAAGATCACCGCCATTATGGCCGCCTTGAGATCTCTCCGGAAGAACATTATCGGTTTCTTCGGCTCTACTGGAAGCCGAAGATTGCTTCATTTTGATTTTTAGCACCGGTTTCTTTCTTTCTTGACTGTTTGAAACCGTATCTGGTTCTTTAACAGGTTCAGAAGAATCAAGAATTACCACGTTTTCAGCAACGAGGGAATTGTACTTCTCTTCTTTTGGTGGATCCGGAATTGCGAATTCCGGTGGCGGGATTCCATCGTTATCGGGAATTGGTTCGGCGGTTGTTTCGGGTACGGAAACGAAACCGTCATCAGGAGGTGTAAGAGTATCTAAAGAATGTTCCGGAGGAGGCTTGGATTGATTAACAATGGCAGCAAAGAAGTTTTTGAGTTCGTTGCAAATTTCCGTGTGGCCTTTGATTAACGTTTCGTCTCTTGGAACTCCACAAAGTGTTGGTGGTCTGAAATATAAAATTTATAATCTTAAGGAAAAATAATAAAAAGTTTGTTGAAAAGGAAGGATGTTGATGTTTCTAGAACCTTCCAGCGAGGACTTGTAAGATGCAGAATAGGTAATGGCGGAGTGTCACGTTATTGAATGCTGATGGACTCTCAAGAAGACGGAGTAATGCCACGAGGGTGTCACGGACGACTCCGTGGTCGTCATCGGAATCGGAATCACCGCTGATCTGGCACAACCGCATAGCATGTATTGCTAGCTTTACTTGTCCTGTGAAAAAAAGATTATTAAAATCTAAAAATGTGATGATGTAATTATTAAAAGGATGGAAAGTGTGTTATTATTGATTTGAAAAAAAGAAAACCTCTTAGTGAAGGCTCCCCGTCTAAATATCTAATGAATAAAGTCAATGCTGCATCGATTCCTTTGAGGTGATACTCGAGGTCAAGAAGTGCACGGAATGCTTCAATCCGGACTTGCCATTGTGTTTTATGAGAGCAGAAGGGTTTAATCAAGTCGATGATACTACCCTGAAAAAAAAATCAAAAAAACGAGTTCATGAATCATGAGGAAGTTAGGATGAGTGAAGGGAATGTGGTTGTTACAAGAGGGATGAATTCTGAAAGCTTTAATGTGATTTGTGTAAGCGCTCGAATGCAGCTAACTGTCAAGATTCCATTGTAGCTCGGCATCAGCCTAGCGGAATCCATCCAATGGAATATGGGTTAATGAATAAATCATCACAACAGAATCGGAATGGGAATGGGAATGGGAATGATAATTCACCTGTCAAACTGCAATAGCCGGTCAATGCGTTTTACAAGAGATGATAGAGAAGAAACACTCTGTCAAAAGATAAAAACTTAATTATCAAAATATTTTCATAAAAAAATTTATAATATATGTGATTTAAAGAGATGCCAACAAACCTGCTGTCCAAATTCAAGTTCACCGACTGATTGGACTAACGCAGCAAGCCAGAAAACATCGGAATACGGATTCCCATTGTTCTCATTGTACTAAAAAAACAAAGACAGTGAAGATATAAATAAACATATAATGTGTGTGGAAGTGGAATAGTGGAAGAAACGTTTACTTTTAAAAGTTGTAAAATGAAATCAACAGCTTCACGAGGGCTCTTCTTATCTGCTGCTCTAACCAAAGCTACAGCATGTGGAATAGCCTGTCAAGACATCACAATCCACAAAAATTAAACAAATTCAATAAATGATTTCGCCTAGATTAATAATATTGTATAAATAATTGTATAAAAACTGAAATGTTATTTCAATATGTTGCTTGTATCAATATGATTATGAAAGCATATTGTGTTTTTAAAAAAACTTTGGACATTGTTGACAATACACATCCTACCTCATTGCATTACCTCGAGTACAAAATACTCTGCAAAATCATGAAAGTCATTTGGCCTGAGCATGAAAAGAAAATTAATCTTTAGGAAAGGGCATTTCAGTCATTAAAAATTTGGACATTGTTTTGATGTCTTAAAACAGATAAAGGATGCAACACTTACTTTGGGAGTCCAATTTTCTCATCATATCTTCGACTTTTATAAAATTTAATTAGATGCAGTAAACCAGCCCAATCAGTTTCCTTGAAGAACAATAAAAGTAAATGAATATCAACAAAATGTAGTAATAACCTTAGGAAGGGTATTTCAGTCATTTATACAAATGGGTATAATAAATATAATACCTCAGATGCTGTGCTAGCTAAAGCAAAAGCCGCCTCAATCCGGACACGCCAAAAGGCCTTAACAAGGTAGAAAAGGTCTTTAATAATTTTCTTACTAAACTAAAGCAGTCTACTTTAAAAGAATCTCTTATCAACAAACACATTATACATTGAAAATTGTACAACTGGGTAGATTTTTTAAAAGTACAATACTGTAATAGGTAGATAAATAAAAGTCAGATGACATAATAAACAAAACAACAAAACGTATGTTGATATTCGATGCACAAGAGGGAGAGGGTACCTGAGAATCACAGAGAAGATTACTTAAAGCATTGACAATTGAAAGAAGGCGAGGGAACAACTCTAGTGCTGTGATTGATTGTGCTTGAGCCACAACATCTTTATCCTTCTCCAATTGATTTATCTGGTTTTACATTTATATATAGATTCTCAAAACATTCAAATATAGAGAAACATATAAGAATACAAGAGCATACATACCCACATCTGTACAGGTTGATTGAAATGAATCTCAGCAAGATACTCCATTTCAGGATCTGCCCTCAGCCATTGCAAGGGGGAATCATTGCTGCTAATAAATCGCAAAGTGATAGTCATATAAAAAGCAGAAAGATATAGTTTAAGAAAGAAATATATATATATATATATATATATATATATATATATATATATATATACATAAATGGACATGGCATAATACTTACTTTGAACGCATATCTGCAGCAGAGGCAACTGTATCCACATTATCATCAGAACCATCATGCTGCTTTGAACCTCTTTTAGGTTTTTGGAAACGTTTGGAAGCAAGTTTGGAATGGCATTGTATTTCCAATAACTGCCATGTTTCTCCTGCCATTGGTAAAACTGGATGATCATACATTCCATCAAGTTCATGGACGCGTATACTCATCATTCCAGGCCATCCAACATCACCTTCTCGCTTCACAGACTCGGCTTTTGAATTACTCGACTCTGGTGTTGATGTGCATCCACGCAATGCTGCTAATTCCACCAGGTTTTTCCTTTTGTTATATGAAAACCCCATCCTTAAATTTAAATTCACAAATAATGTTATCACCATAAAGATGGCAGATTTTCTAGAAAAAAAAATTATAAAGTTTTTTTTTTTAATTTCATACTTTAGAACAGGACAACCGCTGGAACCCACCCAACGGGGGAAAAATTCTCTCAGAAATGGACGTTCAAGATTTCCAACTTCGTTAGCCAGGTGCCGAAACTGCATTTTTTAAATTTTAAATTACTATCAATTTATAATATTTCTTTCATGTTCAAAGCAATCACCTCTTTTGTGCTCAGACTTCTCAAAGGACGACTTGTATCTTTAGGAGGTGCAACCAGATTCTTCAATACCTGCCATTGCCAACAAGAAGAAAAAAAAAACAAATTAGAAAATAATTTTATTAATTTAGTAGTATAATACTAAGAAATGAACGTAAAGCTAACCATCTTACTTTACAAAATGACTCCGGCCCCATCTGTTTTTCTAACATTTGGAGAACTGCAACCTGTAAGAAAGAAGCAGTTGTCAAAGGTAAGACTATCAATTTTTCAAATTGGAAATTAAAAAAACAAGGTGTTAGGAGCTGTTTATCTTTTTTTCCCATTAAAAGCCATATATGGGTAAAGTGTCTAAATGGACAATGATGTCTGTCTGGATAAAGTGTTGCATGCTTAAGATCTGTTTGTTTTCTAGACTGAATGAGACCAAATGACCATTTTACCCTTACATCCAAAAACAAATTTTGCAATATTCATCAATTCTAACGTGAGGAGTTGGGAGGATAAAAGAAGATGGTTATTGTTTTGATACATTAAGCCAGCTATATTTAAAGAAACATAGATGCCCATGTTCAGTGCATAACTCACCAAATCCATTAAGTCAATAAGCAACAGCCCCTTAGATTCATAAGATCAACTTACAGATTTCCAGGCGCGAATTTTTCCATAAAAACCAATGCATTGTGTTCCATACAAAGCTTTGGAAGCATCAGAGGAACTTAAAGCAGTTGCAGCACTATCATCTGCTTTGCAGACAGCACAATTTGCCTGAAATCATTCAAATGAAACATTAAACACTCTAATCAAGACCAATATTATACAATTATATCAAAATAAAATAAAGCAGAACAAAAAAGACATACCTTATAGCGTCTATACCGTGCTTCATTGTTTCCAAGAAATTGCTTAATATATGAGTCTGTCAAGAACCCTGCAAGCCCATCTAATAACCATTCTAACAACAAAAAATGGAAACTAAATCAGTATTACATTACTTTTTTTTAATTATGGAAAGCCATAAGTATAGTATGTTACCATCATTTGGTGCTTCTGCAGTGATATACACTCCAAACCATTGCCTTGCAAGCCCATATGCAAGTTTTATTCTTGTATCTATTGTCTGTTCCATTACCATTAAAGATTAAAGTAAGCAACATAAATTTGCATTGGATTATAAGTTCAGCCATTAAAAACATTACATACCTGATCTATGATCTTCTCTTCATAAAGAATTTGTGAGCTGAAGATACTCATTGATGCACCCAAGCTTAATGAAGATACTGCCATCTCTGGATCTATAAAAACTTGTGTGTACGACCCAAATGGAAATTTGGTGGAAAGGTAATGTTCATAATGGCTGTTACAGAATTAAACAGGAAATTACAAAACAGAAGAAAGTCCAATCAAAGTGAAGCTTACATTGCAATTTTTTTTTTTAAAAAAGCAAGCAAACCTGTATGCACTATGGAGAAATCCTACTGTGTTCCGAAGCTTTGACAAGTGAGCTGGCAAACAAATGTGTGTGATAAGATTATTATGGCGATCAGGAAAGATTTCAAATGGAGCAACAGCCAGAGATATCCATTGAGCTGCCACAGGTATATTTATTTTATAGACATATGTTTTTCGTGGTGGATCATCCTTGCTTAAAACCTGCATCAAAATGTCAAATTTTAAGCATATAAAGTGCACATAAGGAGAGGCATTCAAGTAGTTGGATTACAGTAGTTAGGTTTACAATACACATTTCTCGCATGTCTCTGACTTAAATGCCAGTTTGGTCATTTAATATGGTAGGAACCAAGGAAGCCTCATCTTTAGGCAATAGTTATCAAATAAAACTTCACAATGTCAACTAAAATCCACAACTCATGAGAAGGGAACTATAAAACACATGCATACACACATATAGAAGGGGTAATGAGATCTATTCAGCATGTATGCCAAAATGAAATTCACAGACATGCGTGAACACTATTATTAATGTTAATTACATCCAGCCACTGCCACATGACAAAGTCACAAGAATTCCCTCCAGATACAAGAGTCTGTAAAGATGTTTAAACTAAACAAAACTGACAAGTTACACAAAAAACCATTAAAGCCATTTGTTAGGCCCTTGCAATGAAGCCAAATTAACTGCTTCTCACCTGATACATCAAGGTTCCAGTGCTAACAGCAACTAGGTTGTTAGCCACTGTGAACTCCAAGTCAAAGCTGAAACAAAAAATACACATCAAAATGAATCTAATACAACAATATGCAAACAAATTGAGTCAAATAACAATTTATGCTAACCAGCAACGCTGTGAACTATCATCCATACAAGGGAACCAACACCGGGCACGCCTTATCTGATTATTTGTGTGCATAATATCTTTTTTCAATATGGATTCCTGTTTCTATCTTCTCTACCCAATAGTCAATATGGATCAGTTTCACATTCTGCTTGGATTCACCAGATGTTTGTGTTTGTGTTTGTGTTTCTGTTTCTGTTTGTGTTTCTGTTTGTGTCCCATTCTCATGCACAATCTGTTCTGGCTGCTCTGGTACTGGTTTGACAACCTCATTAGAGCACATAATCAACAAATTAGGGACTAATTCTCTTTCAAGACATGAAACATAAACTGAACCCGCAGCATCAGCAGCAGAGTTAGCTGAAGAAACGGAACACCATCTGTCATCACTGTCCATTTGCTGGTAGTGAGGAAATATTTCAAACCTTGCTGGGCCTCCATCCACCAGCACATTCTCGATCATCAAATTATCAGCATGTAAACCTACAATACCATTCTCTGGTACAACTACTTCAAGCTCGGTATACCTGACCAGACACAAACAGAAGAATTATAAATTTCTGTATCAAATTCGGCATTACACATCTGTGAACAAATACTTTATGGCCTGTAACTTGCTCTGTCATTAAAGTGCATTTTATTGCTATTAAATAAGGACACACGAAAATCGCGCAGGTAGAATAATGAGCAATGAGTAAACTTCGTGTTCATTGAGCAACCTAACCCTAATTTCAGAATAGAACTTTCTAAGTGCAATCATTCCAAAGCAACTCTTTCATCACCCGAAGTAGTGTGTTTGATCCGGCCAATTGCGAGAGAAAAAACAAAAGAAAGAAATTCCTTGTCATGTATAAAGTCGTGCTACTATAATCTAGGACTTTCACTCAATTCCGAGTGTTCTAACAATTCCAGGATAACGAAGTATATAAACACATACTGACCCGTAGATTCGACGTTTCTCGATGTCTATTGAGAGGCATAGTTTCTGATGTTTTACCACAGCTTCCGAATTCTCAGCTTTCTGTTCTTCATTCTTTTGCTTGCGAGGTTTCGCCATGTTCCTACATGTACCGAGTGTACATGCACCTAAAACCACACAGTAAAACGCTTCAAATGGGGAAAGAGGATGGGGGAGGGAGAGATGGAGGATTTATAGAGATGGGAATTTTGAGAACAAAGATGTCCCTCGTTATCAGATCAGCCTTCGAGATTGAGCCCTAGCTTTGATGATTGAATCACGGCCGTTCATCTCTTGGTCCCGCTAATCGGACAGTCTACAAAAGTTTCTAATCGCGATCCTGGAATTATTAGATGGGAGTATAGTGTGCCCGACCTCACTCTATTACTTTGGCCAGACGTTTCTTTTAGAGTAAATTACACGAATGGTCCCTATGATTTTGGATAATTTGCGTGTTTGGTCATTAAAGTATTTTTTTAATTTGGAAGGTTTCTATTGGTTGTTTTTGTTATGTGTTTGGTTTCTGTCTTACCTAAAAATACTATTTTTTTCCTTGATTTTTTAACTTTTTTAAATAAACAAACCCCAACTCTACCCCCTCATTTTACCTTACATATCCCATCATTTTTCTTATGTAAATAATAATCTTTTTATGTAAGACATGAACCAAGCGAGTAACAAAAACAAACAGTAGAGACCTTACGAATTAAAAAAATAAATTAGGGACCAGGTACGCAAATGTAAGATTCATAAAATTCATAAAAAATTAAAAAAATTTCAAACATCCAAAAGCCAGTAGTTATTACAAAATGTATTCAAAATAGTTTCATATCAGAGAATCACATAAATCAAAATCATAAATGTGAGGAGGTGCACGATCAAGCCTTCGCATTCCCGCGATCATTCGAAGTACCTGAAACAAAATCCAAAATTGTAAGCCCGAAGCTTAGTGAGTTCCCCCAAAATACCAACGTCATCCAAACCAGAACAATATCACAACGAACAGTATGCATATAAAGTCTTTAGTATGACTAGACCGCCTGACCGGCCTTCAATCTATCTGGCCCACTCTCAGAACCTTCAACATGTCTAAAGCGCCCTACTTGGCCTTCAACCTGTCTGGACCGTTCTTCGGACCTTCGGCCTGACTAGTACTCCCTAATGGGCTTTCAGTCTATCCGGGCTGCCATGGGTCTGTTGGCCTAGAGCACAAAGCAAAATCACCTCAACCCACCCGCAAACACACATTCAACACATAGATATCAAACGCTAGCTAACATGTATAAACAGTCATACATACCTAACAGATAACTAATCATAACATCATCCTACATATCATGATGCAGATCTAACATATCACTAAACATAGCACCATCATATATACCAGGATACAGATCTAACAGATCACTAGACATAACATCATGCGATAACCATGATAACAATCCAAAAGGGTCGACCTTAATGCCTTCGACCCTGTTAGCATAGCAAGGAAAACTCACCTCACAAGTAATGTTAAACCGATAAAATAGAATCCCAACTCACAACTCCAAACTCATCTGCCTATAACCATCATATGACTAATTCCATTAAAATCCCAAATTACCAAAATACACTCAGAAGTCAAACATGGTTAACCATGGTCAAATTCAAAGTCAACATTCTGTGTTGACCTAGCTCGTCGAGTGCATATATTGACTCGTCGAGTCCATTCATATCTAAAAAGATCGTGAAAAGCTCGAGACAACTCGTCGAGTTACCAGAGCAACTCGTCGGGTTCTTCAATGTTCAGAAAACCAAGAAATCCCTAGCTAACTCGTCGAGTCATCTCACCCACTCGTTGAGTTCACTCAGTATTCAGAAAGCAGGAAAACCCAACCCAACTCCAACTCGTCGAGTTGTCAGGTCAACTCGTCGAGTTTTCATGTCTTAACATATTTATCCCCTTCTTGTCGAATCAAAACCCCCAAACTATATATTTGGTCCCCTAGGGTTGAGATACCACGTAAAGTTGCTAACTTTATGTAACAACCGGATTTCCAGGTATATTATTTTATTTAATTATTTTGGAGTTTGTAGAGGAACTCGGCAAGTTGGAGCCAAGACTCGCCGAGTAGGGTCGCGGGTGTTCATCCGGGTTCACGTCCGGACTCGGTGAGTCCACGCTGTTTAATGAAACCCTAATCCCCTGGGTTTGGAGCCTATTTAAGGGCACTTATAGCCTCTCATTTCGGCTACCAATCCCTTAAGAGAACCCTAAGTGAGCCAAATCGTTGTGAGGAAGAAGAAATCACATTTGATCCTTATACCATTGGTTTAGCAAGAAGGAGGTGAACAAGAGCAAAGGGGAGGTGCGATTCTAGCAGTTCCAGAGTTCAGAGACTCCATTTTGAGGTAATAGTTCGAACCTCCTTCAGTTTTGGTGTTGATCATTAGAGTTAGGGTTTTCTAACCCCTTTGGAGAGTGATTATGTGGAGCAAATGGTCCCTCTTTGAGTTTGTGCCTTGGATCTGGACTCAAAGAGGTCCAGAGACCTTAACCCTTGGAGCTTTATGAATCAGTTTGGGGTTATTGGACTTAGGTTGCCATTTTTTAGACTAAATCTCCTTTTGATGCCTTGTTGTTCTTATACACACATCAAGTTTCGAACTTTACGTGACATTCCTGCTTGGGAAGGCCAAATCTTTGATTTAGGGAAATAGATCTGACCTCAGGAGGCCAGTGGAGTTTGTGCATGGCATGAACTCGTCGAGTTGTTCCTGAGACTCGGCGAGTAGGGTTAGGGTTTCACGTAAAATGCTCAGTGAGTAGACTTGACGAGTTGGGGGATGACTCAGTGAGTCAGAAGGGAGTTAGAGGACTGGAGTTCAAGACGATACTCACCGAGTTGTTCTTGAGACTCGACGAGTTGAGTCGTGGTGGCCCCGCAATTCATGCCTAGTATGACTTGTTAAGCATATGGAGGGACCTGGCGTGCCAAATGGAACAAAGTGTTGGAGAGCATGTGTGAACTCGCCGAGTCACCAGGGTGCACTCGGCGAGTAGGGTCAAAGTGTGATTGTTGACTTTTAGGGTTTGGTCAGTGGAGTACTTGTGTCGAGAGGGGGGTAAAATAGCCTTTTACCCTCCTGAGGGTGCCAATGGCAGAAAGAGTCTAGTTTCGAGAGTTATATTTATAAGAGTATTTACTTTATGTGAATAGGTGGAGACTAGGCAATATTTCTACTGAGTCAGAGATTTACCGAGACACCTGAGGTGAGTCTTCTCACTATACTTTACCTAGTGTGGTAACAAAGTTGTGATAGAGTATTTTAGAGTTATATGCCAGTGTGATTGCATGTTATTTATGTGCTATGATTTATTGTGATATGTGCTATGTATGATTCAGAGTTAGGACCTTCGGGTCCACAGAGTTAGGACTTTCGGGTCCACATAGTTAGGGCTAGAGGGCCCATAGAGAGTTGGGGCTGGAGGGCCCCACTGAGACACATAGAACTGCAAGTCAACAGAGTTACAGCCTCGAGTGGCTATTATGTGTTAGAGTGGTATTTTGGGGAACTCACTAAGCATTTATGCTTACCGTGTTATGTGTTTCAGGTACCAGTGATGATCGCGGGAAGGCGCCGGCATGATTCGTACACACGCACACCGGAGTTTATATATATATATATATATATATATATATTGATCTTGGGTTTTGAACTAATACAATGTTGATACAATGTTTTAATCATGATTACAAATGATATTTTATGGGTTGCAAAAGTGAAAAATTGTTCAAATTTTTACGGTGTTACAAGTTGGTATCAGAGCATTGGTTTGAGGGATTCGGATATATGTAACATCCCGAAATCGCAAGAGTAGAGTTGAAGGGCTAAAAGTGTAAGTTTCAGAGGGTGACTCGGCGAGTCCATGGATAGAATCGGCGAGTCAGGTCGCGACTATGGTCGCGTATCAAGTGGCCTACTCGGCGAGTCCAAAGATGGACTCAGTGAGTATGTGATGTATGGAGAAAACCCTAATTTTCGGGGTTGAGCCCTATATAAAGAGCATTATGCCCCTCCACAGCCTCCCTTATTCCCCCTTGAGTTCCAGAAACCCTAAATTCGTGGAGAGTCCATTTGTGGAGCAAATTAGAGCTTGGAGAGGTGTTGGTTGAAGAAATCTTGAAGGAGAAGTGGCTTGGATCAAAGGGATTTACTTGGATTCGAGTTTGGTTGCTATTGAGGCATCTTTTGGAGGTAATACTTTCGTTCTTGGGTTGTGCTTTCCTAGTTTCTCATTTTGGGGTTGTGTGGGGTGCTTAGTTGTGTGGCATCTTGATGTTTGGGGTATGGATCTGAGGTTGCTACCTCAGATATGGAGTGGATAAGATCTTAAGAGCATTAAAGCCCCTGTTCTTGTGTTGTTAATGGAGCTATCTTGTCCCAAACCTTGGTTCTAAGGTGAATAAGGCCTAGATCTCTTTAGATTCACGTAAAGTTTGCCACTTTACGTGATGGATGGATTGTAGGAGGTTGGATCTATGTTTTGGATCAATTGCATGGCCTGAGATGCTTCTGTATGGATTCAGACCGGTGGTACTCGACGAGTCACATGGGTGGACTCGACGAGTTGCTTGAAGATGGCCTGGAACTCGACGAGTTGGAAGAACAACTCGGCGAGTAGGTTGAAGATAGCCTTGGACTCGACGAGTCCATTTGGACTCGGCGAGTCTTGTCGAGGAAGTCCCAATATTTCTGGTTGAGTCGATGAATCGGTGAGTCAAGGGATGACTCAGTGAGTTGGGTGCGAGTGGACTCAGAGTTGTTGGACTCGACGAGTCTTGGGGTGACTCGGCGAGTTGGGTCGCTAATTGAGGGAAGTTCTGAGCATAAGGACTCGGCGAGTAGGGTCAGTCAGGGGTTGACTTTGACTTGTCCAAGGTTGACCAGTTGTCTTCCAGGGGTATTTTGGTAATTAAGGGTATTTATTGGGTTGTATGTTTTGATGTTAAGTGGAGGAGTTCATGTCAGAGTCCGGAGCAGCAGGATCTTATCCTTTCAGCCGATAGTTTCGAGGTGAGTTATCCTCACTATATCAACAGGGTCTAAGGCACCAAGGCCGGCCCTTTATTGGATTGAGATTTGGATATGGTTATTATGTTATTGTTTGATGTGTCTGCATCCTGGTAGCTAGGAT